ACAGTGGCAACAGTCATAATGACAATGTGATACAAAAGAGAACTGAATTGGATCGATACATAATCCATTGAGCTGTCACCGTGCAACACAAAAGGGCAAACAACAAAAACAAACAAAAACAACACACGACACACACAGGCACCAAAAAACAACACGAAAAACCAGCACGGCCGGTGTCAGCTGATCAGTTCACAGGCATCTGAAACGTACAAGAAGAGATGATAACATTGTATCACCTCAGGGATTGGTAAAACGGTTCCTGACCCCGGTGGAGATTCCGCTGCTTATCCCGCATGATCACTACTTTCGGCAAGTATTACTGGCACCCTGCATCGCATGGAGATGGCCATGTACTAGCAATGGCCTTACAATTAGCAATCGTCACAGGGAGGTCTGATCTTTGCGTCGCTGGGGTCTTTTGGGGCCGGTAAAACAGATCTCTGGCAATTCTGCTCATAGCGCTTCAGCTGCGTGCTTGATGATTTCTCTGCAGCAATCTTCACCAGGAAAGCGTTACGGCTAAGGCCCCTGAGTGATCAGATCTGTGACTTTCAGCCACAGCACAATCTTCGCATTGAGGGGCAAAGGGGAAGCGTATACCACTCGACATTGACGTCCCCTGCAACGATCGAAATGGAGTCATAGATACAAAAGAGGCTACTCCACGTTTGGCCCCTGGCAGGCTTCGTTCTGGATGGTCTTTATGGATGACATGAAGCGAGACCTCGTAGAACTCAACTACAAAGCAGCCCAATGGACACACAGAGCGGTTTGGAACCATGGTACATGGAACCCAAACGTGGCCACCACATGAGGTAGGCGGACGACGAACAGATATTGCCAAGAAAGTGACCAGTTCAACAGAAGTCACGCTCGGCGACATGCGCCGGGATCACACAGTGGAAGCCGCACGGGCATCAAAACTCACAGAGTTGAATGACCCAGCCATGTAGCAATGGAAAGGTGAAAAAACAAAAAGTGAAACAGAGTGTGAAACAGAGCTATGGTGAAAAGGGATGAACGCGTATCTGCCGCAGCTCTCAGGGTCCACTCAGGTTCCGCTCAGGAGTTCTTTTCCAAGCATCATCGTCCTGGGGGAGCTACTAAGTCCACTGCAGTTGGCAATGATAAAAGTGTGTAGAATTCTTCCACTGGGCATTCATACGCTGTTGCATTTCTGCACATTGGCAACCACGATGCTGGAGCAGTGAGTGGAGGCAAGCGCTCCACTGTTGTGTACAGCTTTCAAAACTGTATTCGATGCTTTTTTCCGTCCAACGCCAGATGGCTCTCGCCAGGTCGTTTATCAAGCCGGAAAGACAATTGCATTGTGCAAATTCACCGAATTAATGCAGTGGCAACAGTCATAATGACAATGTGATACAAAAGGGAACTGAATTGAATCGATACATAATCCATTGAGAAATCCAGGATAGCGACCTACGCCGTGTAGCCTCAGCCGTTACTTCCGCGCCGGTGCCACAGATGGCTGACAGCCCCTTCCTCAAAGCACTCGGCACCCCAACGATTCGGACTGCTCCGGCACAAACAGGAGAGCTAGCCCAAAGGGCAGTTGAAGAATGGGAACGGAACGTGTGCGAAAACAAAGCTGTGGCAATCCTGAAAAAAAAAGCAAGAAGGCAAAACGGCTCTCATCAAGAAGGATGGAGGAGAAATGCTCATTGCCATCGTACTAGACAAGCCGCTCTCAGAAGCTCAGGCGCTAGTAGATGATCCCGATGCCTTTATGCTCGAAATTACGAAAATCATTCAAAACAAACATGCGCACCCTGTTATCGCACAAATGCTCCACCCTGATGTGCCTGACGACCTGCCCCCCTCAGAATGTGCCCCTACCTCATCAGAAGGCCAAAGCAGTCGCACTGCAACGGCTGATCACGCGCAGCCTCCAACGCAATTTCAATAAGTGCTTGCATACGATCTGCCGTCAACGTGGGATACCCACGGCTGATGGTCCAACATCCCCCTGAGCCCACCCTTTACGTGCCTTCCTTTACTGTCCAACTGTCCTACTGACCAACATGGGATACCCATGGCTGGTTTGCACGTTCCTGGCCTGCACTGCATCCAGTGTAAATTAGTGGTGACTTTCATAACCTCTTAGCACATATGCAACCTAGTTGTTAAGAGTTGTCAGTAGAATGAGGTGAAGGTCCTTTGCTAACATTAGTAGGTAAGGGAGGATGATCTAGGGAGGGAAGGGTAACTAACTAGATGATGTCAAAGTACATCTGTGCCATGGCGTCTTGGAGTTCCTCATTCAGCACTTGCTAGCGTAATCGTACAGCACTGTCTCCGAGTGTCAGACCAGGCAGCCAATTGCAGACTGTGGAACACCTCCCTTACATTGTCCGCTAGCTTGATTGCAATGGAAGAGGCTGCTCTCAACCGTCTGGCAACATCGATTACGCGCTTGACACTGAGCCAAGTCACTGCAGATGAAATCGATGCTGCCACCAAACTTCTGGATAAGGCATGTCAGAAACTCCGAGGTATCCCAGATGTACCACATCAGAGAATAACTGACCTTGAGACTGCCATACGTCAAATACGTCAATTAAGCTGCATTTTGGACAGTTGCACAATTGCTGCCAGCTACGAGGTTAGTCAAGCGCAAAAAGCACTGCTGCTCATGCCCCGTACAGCTAGGGGTGCAAGCACATCATCCGGTGAATTGAACGCACAGGGGTCACTTCCCATAGATGATGAATACCACGCCCCTCAAAATCAAGACCAGCGCAAAGAACACTAGCGCACTGAGGCAGCTAGAGAACATCATCCATCTTGCAAGAAGGCCATCCTCAAGCACTGATGTACCTTCAACTTTATGATGATTGGAAAAGCACTACTGAGCGGATTCTGAGTGCGCCCTGAGTGCCGTAGGCTAACTCGCTCGACATCTTTTCTCACCCTAGATCCTTCTCACCGCCGTTTTAACTCTGTCTCACCACTTCAGTTGCTACACGGCGTTGTCGTTGCTAGCATCGAAGTGTTTTATGATTGTGAGTTGTTATGCCTTGATGGCTTGCTCTATGTGATCTCCGGGATCCTGGCTGGGGGGATCCCTGGTTTCCGCATAGTGCTGTGTTGCTTCACTCACTCGACGGTATGGCAATGTGTTTGTTGTGGTTTTCTGTTTTCTTTTTGTTTGTTTCTTGGTCTTGCCATACCAATATCTGAGTTGATACAATGCTATCACACCCTCACCAGTAGTCTCTGAACTGGACCGCCGATCACTTCTCATTGCTTTTCTTGTGCTTGTTCTGCTTTGTTTGGTTTTGGTTTTGTCTGTTCTGTTGCTTTGGGTGTTGTTTTTTCGTTTGCTGTGATTCTGCAATGGAATCGTGACGGCTGCTGGACTATGTACAGGTCCCATACCAGTTCACTTTTGTGGCCTCCAACCAGATGGCGGCTATATGTATGCATTAATTAGTTAATTTACCGGTTCTATGCAACATGCAACTGAACGTGTTGAACGACCTGGCGAAAGCCAAGAGGCGTTGGACGGAAAAAAAAGATACATAATCCATTGAGCTGTCACCGTGCAAGACAAAAAGCAAACACCAACCCAAAAACAAACAAAACAGACAAAAACACCAAAAAGCAAACAACACAAACCAGAGACAAAAACAAAAACCAGCACGGCCGGTGGTCAGCTGATCAGTTCATTGACAATTGGAAGATGCAAGAAGAGATGATAACATTGTATCACCTTAGGGATTGGTATGGCAATGTAAAACACATCAATTAGTTATTTTACCTGTTCTATGCAACATGCAATCGAACGTGTTGAACGACCTGGCGAAAGCCAAGAGGCGTTGGACGGAAAAAAGGTATGGCAATGTAAAACAAAAGCGAAAACAACAAACCACAAAGTGCCACACAATAATCTGTGAGCCAGGGAGCAACAAATGCACAATAAGGAAGCCAAGGCTCCTTCCAGCCAGGAGCCTCGAGATCACAGAGTGCAAGCCGCACGGGCAACATTCTCACAGATTCATGGATACGATCCAAAAGCCAGCAAGACGCTGTCTTGTCGCATCTGATAAGAAGATTTCAAAACTGATTCGATGCGATCGAGTTAGCGATGATTGCTGGCTCGACAGCATTGATACAGGCTTGCAAGCACGGAGCTCCTTCACCAAGAACTGTTGGTTTAATCGAAATGTTCGGCAGAGGTTCTGGAAGGGCAGCTTGTGTCAGTGCGAAGATCTTCGGTACGGTATGGTCACTGTCGTTTGCACAAACTGTATCTGCTGGCTGCACGTTCCGTGGATTAGCTCGGGCTTCTACTCGGATGCGTAGAAAGACAAGCCGCCAATGCGCGAAGGTCTTGCTCACTGATGATGTCTGACCAGAAGTTCTGTTGGCTGGAGTGAGGTACAGGTCTCTTCCAGAGTTCGGTGGGTGTGAGACAGATTGCACGTTTGGGGCTGCTGCACGACTCCTGGCTGGGCGGAGCCTTGGTTTCCGCATTGCTGTGTTGCTTCCTTTACTCAGAGATCTCGAGTATGGCGATGTTTGTGTTTAGGTCCTTTTGTTTGGCTTCTTGTTTTTCAACCATACCAATACCATGGATGATACAATGTTATCACCCTTCTGTCAGTCACTAACGTTACAACTGGCCAGCCGTTCACTTTGCCTTGTTTTTTGTTTTGTTTGTGTGTGGTTGTTGTTTTGCTGGTTGGCTTTTTTCCTTGTTTGGTTCCTCTGGCATTGTGACGGCTATCTGGATGTGTACTGGTCCTGTGTTAGTTCAACTTTTGCAGCCCACCTTCTACGAAGATGGATAACGTCACTGCTTTAATTAATGAAGTATGCAACATGCAATCTAGCGTGGAGAACGACCTGGCGGAGCCAAGAGGCGTTGGACGGAAAAAAAAATCCTGTGACGACTGCTAATAGCAAGGTCACTGCTAGTACCTGGCCATCTCCATGCGATGCAAGAGTGCCAGTAAAACTTGCCGAAAGTGGTGATCATGCAGGATAAGCAGCAGAATCTCCACCAGGTCAGGAACCGTTGCAGAAGTTTCACCAGAGCCCCAGTCAGCTACTCGTCCTCGTGGTGCAGTTGGTATCACGGCTTTCTTGTGTCGCTGACAGACTGCTAGTGCTGGTTCGATTCCCCGCTGGTCCGTGGGTAAGACTCAAGACCGTAGACCCGCCGAAAGGCAACGGCCCTGTCCAGAGCCAAAGGCTTCACTCCAGAGCAGGCATTGCTGGGCAAAGCCCGAGCTCTTCCTGCCTCTCTGACCGCAGACCAGCAGGCTGGGGCACACGTGCTTGCAGAGAGCTCCACACCAGAGGGAGTGCGTTTCCGAGCGAGCCTCGAGCGTAGGGAGCAGGCAAGAAGGGCTTTCATTAAAGCTGATAATGATAGCTCCTGCAGGCGCGCCCTTCTCCGGAGATGTCGTCCAGGGGCGGTCGAATTCGAAGCAGGAGACTGGGTTCTCTATTGGAAGAGGGTCAGGGGAAATTTAAGACATGAGAGAGGTCGCTGGTACGGCCCGGCTCAAGTCATCACCATCGAAAAAACTAGGGTTGTGTGGCTGAGTCATGGCGGATACCTGATTCGTGCTAGCCCCCAACACTTAAGGCCAGCATCTATGAGGGAGTATCATGCATTACCCAGAGATGATCAGGGTAATGTCCGGGACGAACAGGTATCCACCAGGACTCGGAACTACATTGACTTGGATGAACTTCCACCAGCTGTTGGTTCGGTTGACGATGATGATGGCTATGAGCCCTCACTTGCCCCGACACCCACAATGGAAATTGACAGTGAACAACCCGAAGATGAGGCTTCTCCCCCTGAAAGTAACTTGGGTGGTACCCCCGAAGAAGAGGACCCCGAAAATGGAGGATCGGGTGAAGTAGCAGTAGATGGGGATTTGGGGGGTCTTGGAGTTCATGTACCTAGTTCAGATGAAGAAGGGGATGATTCTCTTGTTGTTTTCGGGGACGATTGTGAACCACTCATTAACTCGGGGGTATGGGAAATCACTTTAACAGAATCTCCTGAGATGCCTTGTGAAGAGGGTGTGGTAGATGGCAACTTAGCGGAGTGCATTTTGATAGCCACCACCGCGAAGAAACAGAGGGTTGAAGTCCAATGGAAAACACTAGACCATGACGAAAGGGAACTTTTCAGGAAGGCCAAGGCAAAAGAGGTGCAGGCATGGATAGATCATGGAACAGTAAAGAAACTAGTCAAAGGGACTTTACCTGAAAATCGTATAATGCGGTGCAGGTGGATTTTGACATGGAAAGATCCGCTTCCTGGCACAACGGAAAAACGTGCCAAAGACAGACTGGTGATTCTGGGATTTGAAGACCCAGACATTTCTTCCGTTCCCAACGATGCTCCCACTCTTAGCAAAGATGGCAAACAGTTGATTTTGCAAAAGGTTGCTAGCTGTGGATGGACACTGCTGAACTTTGATGTTTCAACTGCTTTCTTGAAAGGAGCTGGGGATGGAAGGATACTTGGGATCCACCCACCACCTGAAATAGCACAGGCCCTCAGGATGACAGCCATGGACCAATGTGGTCTTGAAGGAGGCGCCTATGGGCGCATTGACGCACCCTACTTGTGGTATAATTCATTTCGGGAAACCCTGGAAAATCTTGGGTTCATGGTTTGTCCACTGGACGGCTGCGTGTTCTCTCTTGTGACATCAGATGCACAAGGACGTCCAAGGGTGCGTGGAGTGCTGGGCATACATGTAGACGACGGGATCGGAGGGGGTGATGAATATTTTTTGAGTGTCATCGAGCGTTTGAGGGAGAAATATTGATTTGGTGCTTTCAATACTGGGGAATTTGACTTTTGTGGTATCCACTATCGTCAATGGAGGGATGGTAGTATTGAGTTGAGTCAGAAGAAGTATGTAGAAAGAATAGATCCGATCCAGGTCTGTCGACATCGTAGAAAAGAGCCCCAGTCACCAGTGACCGATGCGGAGAGACAATGTCTTCGCCAACTGTGTGGCTCGCTTCAGTACGCGGCGGTACAGACTCGGCCTGACATCAGTGCCAAGGTAGGGATTCTTCAATCACTGATACCAAAGGCTTGCATAGAGGATCTCCTTGATGCAAATCGAGTTCTGTTCGAAGCCAAGAAGAATCCAGTCACCCTTGTCATTGTTCCCATCGCAGAGAAACAGGTTTCTTTTTGTGCATTTTCCGATGCTTCTTTTGAGACGAAGAAGGGTACAGCATCAAGACAAGGTACAATCATTTTCACCACGGATTCAAGAATGGCTCAGAACCAACTTTCAGTAATTTGTCCAATAGCTTGGTCCAGTCGCAAAATACCACGTGTCATCAGAAGCACTTTAAGTGCGGAAGCTTCTGCACTTAGCAGTACACTGGACAGGCTAAGCTGGTTACGCTTGATCTGGTCTTGGCTGTTAGATCCAAGCATTGACTGGACCAATCCTACCGAAGTGCTCAAAGAGTCGCCGTTGGCATCCATAGCAACGGATTGCAAGTCAGTCTTCGATTTATCCACAAAGACATCGACTCCAGTGTGCGAGGAGTTCAGGACAACTTTGGAGTGCCTTTTGGTTAGAGAAAGATTGACTGAGAATTGCAAGCTCCGTTGGGTATGCAGCCAAGCAATGTTGGCTGACTGTCTCACGAAAATTATGGATGCGGGAACTTTACGGAAGGCATTGGCCCTCAGGAAGTATTCAATGTTTGATGAACTGGACATCTTGAGACAGAGAGCTGACAAGCGTGAAAGACTCAAATGGCTGTCAGAACAGGAGACCAAGGTCCAGAAATCTCCACATGATCTCATGCAAAACATGGAAACAAGGGTTTCAAAATTTTGAGATTTTGACGAGTGTGAAATCAACCACATGAGATCATCCAATCCTTTACTGTGGACATCACTGGACACATTTGGACTCTTGGATGTAATGCCAAACCATTTTGGCCATTCCTCGCCATTGATCACGGCTCCAGATCGAGGAGGGTGGGACTAGGGATCTTGAGTGGGAAAAGGACAAGCTGGCTTGCGGGGAGATCGGGCATCTCGGTGTAAGGTGAATATTCCCCATTGAATTCTCAATATATATATATATATATACTTATTCACATAAACATGATCTTAACCCCTCAAAAATCTTGTTTTTTTGGCAATCTCGGAGAGGACATGATTGCCATCCCGGATTTCTCTGCTGGCGCCATGGAAAACTGGGGCTTGGTGACCTATCGGGAGGTCGCGCTCCTCTGCGACGAAAGCACCGTGTCTGCCACACAAAAGCACCGGATTTGTACGGTGCCTTGTTGGCGATTTCTCATGGAATAAACCGGAAAAGTGGGAATTAAGCAGCAAACATGGATGATGTAATTATGATACCATGATTTATCAAGGAAAAATACGGATCAGCAGCAAAGACAGATGATTTACTGTATCAGCCCCAAAAATGGGAATATCACCAGAAAAGATGTAGCCCAGCAGCCCGCACTCAAAAATGGATACAACCAATAACTTTTGATTTGTTGATGATTTTTTTCATGCTTTACATTCTCTTTCCCAACTGAAACGGTATGATTATCTGCCCAGTCACTTTCCTGTTTTGTCATAGGGGTGGCTAGTAACCATGTTACCATCTGGCAATTTAATGTAGCTATGGAAAATGGCCCATTTGTAGATCATTTACCTATAAAAACGTGTTATGTTCTGTAGCTACGGCATAAATTACCGGAGAGTATATCTGATATTGTCCCATTCTATCCCCATTTTGCATGATTTTCGTTCTAAAGTTATATCCCCCACATTTTTTTGGTGATTCAAAGTGGGTGATATTTCCCCCGGAATTTTCAAAGCGTTTTTTTTTGAGGTGATTGCGCATGAACTGGCGCATCAGTGGTTTGGCAACTTGGTAACCATGGAGTGGTGGGACGACCTCTGGCTGAACGAGGGCTTCGCCAATTGGATGCAGACCTTTTGCTCGGATCCTTGGGAGAAAAAGTGTGGTGACCCGGATGGGTTTTTTTTCGGCCTGGTGAAAATCGTGGTTTTTATTGTGGTCAATATAGGTCAATAGTGGTTAATAGTGTGATCATAAATGGTGATTAATGGGATTTGATGATGTTTACCCTCATAATTATGGGATTTTATGGGATTAACCGTAATTAACCATAGATATTTATAGATGGGAAAATTCTATCCATAGATAGTTATAGATATTTATCTATAGACATTTATAGATTTATAGGGGATCAACCATCCATAGATACCCTCTGGTAAAGGTTTGCATAACGAACTGGAAAGATCCGCCATGCTATGAATGGGTAAATCAAGGAACTAAATGACCATGTTCAATAGCAAACTGTTTGTTTACCAGAGGGTAAATTAACAGTTCGACCCTGTCAGGGCTTGGAAGATTGGTTTCCACTAAGAATTGGTGGTATTTTCAGGGTCCAACTGTGAATAGCCTCCAGAGGCTAGGAGAGACGCTTCTCCCAACCGTGGCGAACATATCCACGAAGTAAAAAAAAAAAGGATCCACGAAGGAAATATGGATTGGCTGGTGTGATTTTTGAGATGATCATTTCATGGATTTTCCCATGGGTGAATCTTCTCCCGTAAAACTTTGCACCGCTAAGTTGTGCCTTGAAAACCAAAACAAAACCTATCGCGATCAAAGTTACCCAAAGGCTTTTCCACAAATAAACAAACGTGAGTCAAACTTTCCGTGCTCTCTCGCTCAAATCACTCCAGACAACAAGCAACGCTTCAACACACACTCTGTTTCTCTCGCTCGGGCTTGAGCCAACGAAGGTCGTTGGGCATTCAGTTCAAATACTGTTTAAAGGTGACAAAAACCAAGGAGGGGTTTTTGTCTAAACTGCAAACTGGATTCCAGTCTTGACGAAATTCCGAAAAGCGATCCACTGAGGATCAAAAGCTTTCATTCGGTTCTCAAACTGTTGAAATATTTCCAAACTGTTCAAATAATGTTCGGTTTCCTACAAAAACATCACAACTCTCAACTACAAAACGAGGCGAGTGCAACCACAGTGTCGGTTGTGCTCGTTGAGTGTCACAAGATGGTCTACGCTCCATAGAGCATCCAAAAACATTCAAAAGTATATCTTCCACAGATGATATTCGGTCAAATCAAAACTACAAACTACGATCTGTCCATTCACAATCGTTCCAAGTCAAAATAGGCTCGTCCACAGACGATACTTGGTGAAATCAAAACTGTGCAACGTCACTGATCTCTCAGCGCTATACCAGGTAGGATTTTCACACCCCCTTTCGATGAGAGGTCAGTATGGAGTCTTCGTCCAATACGTAGTGCAATCAATGCAATGCAATGCAATCCAGAAAGTCATGGCGTCCCATTCCAATCCAGAAAAATCTAATCCTCTGACATACCTGCAATAGAAGAAGTTGACGAAGCAGTTCTTCGCTGGCGAGGTACTGAATCTCCGAATAAAACCTGTGTAGAATGTTCCAGTGTACAACATGCAGTGCACCTTGCATATTCAGTCACTGGCAAACTCTTGAAAGTACGACAAAATCGGGTCAAATGAAACTTCTGTCCTTGTTCAGAAACAAAAATCCCTTGCCCGATCTCAAAAGTCGAAGATGAAATACGGCAGATTTCACAAATTGTAAGCCCTCTCTTCACATTGTCCCAATCTGGATAACAACGACAACGGCGATCAAGATGATAACATCTCTCCGCAGTTCCAATGTACAAATGATAAGAAGACAAAGTCTGAGCTCTGTGCATTTGTCTGAAGTCCGACGTTTCATCCGATGTAGCCTGAGTATATTCAGCCTGAATTGTCGCATCACTCAACTCTGGACTAACTTTCTCAATAGCTCAATAGCTGTCTTACGTTCCAGTGCTCCACAAAGCCAGAATATAACAACTGTCCCCAAAGATCCAATCATCACTCCAGTCAATGCAGAAAATAGCACCACAATGAGAAGCTCATCCATGGCTGGCGAACGCGGCGCGGCCGGCCCGGGCTACACGAAAAAGAAAACACACACACACACAACAGAACAAAACAACTGGAGTGTGAGCGTCCTGATGCGAGCACTCTCTCAACGGAGTTGATAGGCTCCTGAAACTAAACTGATGTCATCACCTGATTCCTGATGACAAAACTTGAGAATTCACTTAGTGAAGTCTTCACTGAAAACTATGCCTGACAATCGAATGTCCCTGAATCCGCTGTGAACCATGCAAACATGCAAATTCCACTGAACGGTTCAGCTGAAAAAGAAAACTGTACTTTCCTGAAGTCAAACTGCTGACATGAAATGCAAACTGCAGTCAATGACGACGTTTCTTCCTGTTGATCAATCCAACGTAGTGCAATAGCACGACAATAGAATCTGGCAAGCTTATATGAATATCTTTCCGTCATCGAATAGTTGACCTGATTCAATGGAGCGTGGTCCTGAGTACATTTACACTGAAATCTCTTTCCAAGACCTGTGGCAAGTACTTGATCCGAACATGCAATGCGAAAGACTTTACCAATAGGCTGTCCCTGACTAGTTTCCAAACCCATGGCACATGCAGCACAATCCGCAAACTTTTGCATGTCGTGGTCAGTTAGAAACTTCTTCAATCTCTGGTCTGACCAAAAACGGTTCGATTTCGGAAGCTCCAGAGTCACAGCACTACACACATTGCTCATGCCCTTGATATATGAAACATATCTCTTGCAATGATCAAGAAGCCTGAAATATGCATCCTGAGCAGGTTTCCTGTCTTTCTTGGATAAGTCCAACAAAGGGCTACCCCCAGTACAGGGAAGAGAAATGTGTACCTGAATCAGTTTCTGTGAATCCGCACTACCGGAAGATCCCTCAGCAAAGTTCTTCAAGAACTTATAGGCCTGACGTTGAGTTGAAGAAAGCTCCAAACCGGCATGAATTCCAATGTAACTGCATCCAAACTCCCTAGAAATTTTTGAATCACTGAGTCAACACCACAAGCAAGCTCCAAAATCAAAAGATTTCCACCTGAATCAAACATGGTCATACTTCCATCTTCAGTCACACTGTAAACACCTGAACGAGTTGGAGTACGAGATCTACCTGAGTTTTCACTGAGGCTTGGACTGACTTCGGTCCCGTTACCAGGTCCAGTGGGATTTGCAGCTGCCGGAGCTGGTGTTGTAGGTGCGGCCGGAGCCGGGGTCGCAGGTGCGGCCGGAGCCGGGGTCACTGGTGCAACTTGGGCAATCGGCCCCGCCAAACGGAGCTGCCCCGTTCCGATAAGTCGGAACAATCGCAGATTCACCTGCGAGTTCAGCAGTCCACTCCCTTGGCATGCCACACAAACCTCTGTCTCGCCTCCCACCGGTGCTGGCGGTGGTGTAGATGGTACCGGTGAAATCACCGGAGCATTCGACCAGTGAGTTGAACTTTGTCCTGGTGCTTCTCCAGCCACAAGGGAATCTCCTGCTGGAGATGTAGGCGTCACCGCCTGTGAGTTCGTTGACGTCGGTTGGTGCACTGTAAGTGCTGACAATCTTCCATAGCCTTGTGCCACGGTAAGATGGACATCCCCATGTCCCGCACTGTCTGAAACTGGGGTTCCAACATCCACAGCTGTGCTCGGCGTCACAAGGTCCACAGTCGCAGGTGGCGCCTTAGCTGCCTCTTCCACAACTCTCCCAACCGAGCCTCTGATCTCTGTTGCTGGCTCTGTCGCCTTGGACTTCTCAGTCGCTTTGGACTTCTCTGTCCCTTTTGCCTTCTCTGTCCCTTGGGTCTTCTGTGGCGCACCTTTCACTGGCGGTGCCTTGCTTGGTGGTCTCCTTGGCGGTGTTTTGGGTGGAGTTTTAGGTCTCCTCACGTCTCTGCTCGAGGAGGCCACTTCTCCCAGAGGTGGGTCCTGAGAAAACTTAGCCGGAAGTCTCGCACTTGGCGCTGGTGGTGGCCGCATAGCTGCTGAAGTCTGCGGCGGAACGCCTGGTCTGCTCCTGGCAATCTTTGGGCTTCCACCCATCGGAGGTGGAGGTGGTGGTGGTGGCAAGCTCTTCTTGACACCTCCTCCAACCGTAGACATAGTTCCCAGGTATTGTCCGCCCACCTGAGATGCTGAGTCTTCTGGACGGATATCATCAAACTCCGGGGTCTCCTGAGGAATGCTTCCCATATTTCCCTGAAGTCTGACTCGAGGCCAGGTCTCCCCTGCCCCCTCGTACTTGATGACGCCCTCAGTGAGTGATACTCTCCTCATCTTCTGCGGGCAATTGGCACTCAGATGCCCCTTCTCACCACACTGGTAGCAAGTACGAGTCTCAGTAGGGTACCTGGAAAAACCTGACTGCACAGTTCGAAACTTCTGCTCCCTGTCGATTGGCTTGACTTCCATTGTCTCTCTTCTGCCTGAAATAGGGTCGAAAAAACTTCGAACTGGCACATCTCCTCCACGGGCTGGAATCTCAAAGGCTGGTGCAGGCTGAGCACGCTCTTCTCTGGCAGTCTTCTTAATCTCTTCCCACTTCGCCTTCTGGCGTCTCTTCGTCTCCTTGTTCTTGAAGCGGTTCTTCCCAGGCACCTTGGCAGTTGTCCCAGGCTCCAACTTCACCTTGGTGACCTTCAAACGCCTCGGCATGAGCTTGGCTGCAGGCCTCTTGGGCATTTTCTTCACCTGAGGTCGCTTCGATCCAGAAGACGGTCCACCTGAAGGTTTCGATTCTTCTGCAACTGGCGCACCCGCAGCTGCTTCCTTTGTATCAGGAGTGCCTGACACTGGTTCTCTCGGTTCCTGAACACCTGAGGCAGCTGCTCCTTCTGGTGCAGCTTCAGTGACTTCCATGACCCTTTCATCTCTTCTCATCACTTCACCAGTCTCTGGATCCGTGCGAGGATTCCCTGTCGTCCAATCGACACGAGTCAATCCAGACACCATAGACTTGCTGTCCTCTTCTTCACCTGCCATCGGCGCGATAGCAAGATGCAAACTGT